AAGGTATTGAGCTGTAGATAGTGCCCCCTGGCATTGGGGCATATAATAGGAAGCTTCCCACATTTACCACCAGTTTATTATCTAGCAAAGATGTGACAGGAGAGACTGGGCAGACTGCTCCATATAGGCAGGTGGGTGGACTGACGTTGATACCTGGGACAGAACGTTGTCCCCTGTCACACTACTGTTTCATTCACCTTTGTGCTTATCCTCTGACATCACTTCACCTCTTGCTTACATATAGCCTCAACAAGATGCATCTCCCCTTCCCCTGATACATCCACTTTAAACAATCAACATCACCTTTTATTTCACATCATATTAGCATTTCTATACCAGTTCTTGTATAACCGCCCAACAGTCTTCCCTTACCATTGTGTGGCAGGGCACTGGTTGTGCCTGCCACTTTAAGGGCCTGGTGCTGGCAGCCACCAGGTGCCTGATGAGGGCAGCCATTTTGGAGTTAGGGGCTGTCTATATAAACAGGGCAGTTTGGCTGCTGGAGGCCAGGCAACAATATCACCTGGCCGGAAGGCTGCTGAGATCTACATCTGGAGGTAAGGAAGGAGCTGTAGGGGATGGTCAGGAGGGTCCTGGTCCTGGGTATGACCTAAAACTGCACCCTGCTGGGAGTGGGTGGCCTGGTGGGGCTCCCAGTGGTGCGGGAGCCCCCAGGAAATGCTAGGCCAGTTACCACCTCGGTGAAAGGTGGGTCGGGGCGCCTTAACCCCTAGCCCCCACCACTGGGTGGGTAACCCCTGTGTGAAGGGCCCAGAGGGCATACCCCGGGAGAGAGTGAGGGGCTAGAGACCTGACCTGAATGAGAGAGTACCCTCGACTGGCCCATGCTGGGGCCAGGACCAGGACCAGGACAGTCAAAAGGGCCAGGGGCCCACTGCGAGGGACGCCCAAGAGCCAGGGGCCTGGGGTCCCGACTGGCCTGGAGGTGGGCCAGGGCTGGTAGCCAGAGGTCCCGGGGGGACCACACCCGAGAGGGGAAAATCGTTTCGGGGGGGCTAGGTAGCCTGAATGAAGGCGGAGAGGCTGCCTGAGTGGAGGGATCATGGAGGGGTCCCGTTAGGAGGATTCTGGGCCCAGTGTGGGGGCTGGTGATCATGTGAACATCAAGATGCCATCTGCGAGGCTTGGGCTGCGGTATAGGGGAGGAAAGGAGACGCAGAGAGCACCCCCTGGCATCGGGGCAGCAAAATGGGCAGCCTCCTGCTTAATTGACATCTATTAATTAATCAATTAACATCAAGGTGTGGTGGGCAAGAAGGCGGGTGATTGGCCCAAGAACAGATGGGCAGGCCACGGAGATCGGCCCAAGTAGGCCTCCTGTTACACATTGTCTCTTCAAATGGGATTGCTTGTCATGCTTTCCTCACTTTCTTCTCAACCCATTCTGTTATTTCCCCTGCTCCCCCTACCTGACACCTAGAATTTTCCTGGAACAGTGTTCCCCAGTCTTTTAATGCCCACTTGTTCTCAGATCTTATCTCTGTCAATGTACGTTTGCAGTTTATGCGTGGCTAGCTGCATGCATTCTCGTGGTGTGAAGAATAGTCCCTTGCACACCAACAGGGTCTACATCTTTTAGATCGTCACTCTCATGCACACTATTAACAGTCTTATTTGTTGGCTCATTTGCTCTCTTTGGTCCACTCCATACATTGCTATCTTGTATGTCAATACAATTAAGTTCTCTTTGCAAACCTCCCCCACTCTTCCACACCTTCTCTGCACACCCACATTCCCAAGTGGTAAGTTGATTCTATGTTCTCACAGTTTTCCCTTGGGTATTTTTCTGATCTGTTTAATCCCCATCTGCATACCCTCTCCCTTACCAGTAATACATCCTACACTGCCATCCATGCCATTTCTACATGTTCCCTCTTTACCTGTGCTTCTCACATTCCCTTCCATACTTTGGAGACAGTCTGACTGTGAACTTGACACTGGGGAGCCTTTCCCCAGTGTCAAGCTTATAGCACCCAGGGAGCTGAAAAAAGTGGCGGGCATTCAGCTGGGAGTCCCAGCTGTAGGGCCTCTCTTAAAGGTCCGGGCACTTTGTTGGGCTCAGTGTGGCTCAGACCTTTAAAAAGTAGATGTGCGATTAAGAGCCCTAGTTGCATTCCCACTTGTTTACATTCTTGCCAGTGGGTATGGGGGACTCCCAGCTCTATGGCTGTCACTTCCATGTGTGAAGGGATTCAGCTGGGGATCAGGGAGCTTCCCACTTCCTTGGGGTTTGAGGAATTTTATGCCTCATTCCCAGAACTGCATGACCTGCCATGCACATCTGGTATGACAGGTCACAAGGTTTGGTGAGTGGGGCATAACATTCCTTAGAACCCAATAGCACAACTGCCTTAAGTTTGCCAGCAACCTAAGGCAATGTCACGAGACCTAAGGTGATACAAGATCCTTCTAAGGGTGCTACAGGGTGCTGCACAATATTAGCACTGTTAAGTGGGCAAATACCTACATGTCTCACAAGAGAAACCCTAAAATTTCAAACAGGAGTCCATAGTGTCCAAAACATGCTGTGGTTTTTCTGAGTTCTTGCAACAGAATAATTACTCTATTATTTTTCCACAATCAAAAAACAAGTGAAAGCTAAGAACTGGCATTTTCTGAGGGGTGCTTTGAGTCTAACAAGGGTTGCTTTGAATCTAAAAAGGTTGAGAGCCACTGGTCTAAGCTGCCAGTCACCTGGCTGGTCTTCTTTCTGATGTTGCTAGTAAAAGCTGAAAATCTGGCCCACATCAGCTTTTTAAACATTAGTAATATGGTCGCTCAGTTTAAAAAACTGTAAATATTGTAGAAAAGGACAACAAAAATGACGGATACCTGAAGTGTTCAGAAGAGCCACTGTTATTCTGAAGTCTGTTTTGTAAATGAATGATCTCGGTTGTGTATCTCTCTTCAGTTTCTTTCAACTGCTGCTGGAAATAGGATCGGAGGTGCTCTAGTTCTTGAGCATGTTGTTTTTCAAGTTGTCTCTTATGGTCCTCCATCTCCTCCCAATGGGATTCTCTGACCATAACATCTACAAATAGGTCATTTGATGTGGGAGAAAAAAGTCAGTTAATTATATTAATACATGTCAACTTTCTATGTAAAATAATAATAAAAAACTGAATAGCAATAACAGCAGAGAACTCATATAATTTTAATGAAGGTAATTGTGCTAACAGAGAAGTCTTATATATTAAAAATGAATGCAATACTCATCCTTCCCTCTTGAAAAATAAAACAAGAAGTAATCCAATTTTTCAGCACTGCTGAAGTGTCTAGTTTCAGAGTATGTCCATTACATTTCTAAACAACATCCCAGAGATTTAAAAGAACTAAATAAATAAATGAATAAATAAAATAGCTGGCATTGACGGTTCTGTCATTTTGTTAAATTTGTTTTATCCACTAGAAACCAATTGAGATTTAAAGCCATTAGTCCATCTATATAGGTAAAGACGTATTAGAAATAGCATATGTATCTTTTTACCAAGGTCTTGTGAAGGAGTCTGTAAGCATTCTATTTTCATCTGTAGAGAACAAATTTCATCATCATCTTTTCTAGGCTCAAACTCAGCATATGACACTTGATTTTCTCTGACCTAAGGAAAAAAAAAAAAAAATCAGGTAGAAGAAAAATATATAATATTTAACTGATTATAATTTGTATATTTAAATCAAGAATATAAACTGTAACTATCCTGAAAACGCATCATGGGTGCTGTTATTCTATAGTACAATATTTATCTCTACTTACCCTGGTCCTACATTTTGCAACTACCTTCTAAATTAACTGCTGAGTGTACTGCATTTATCCACTAAATATACAAAAGGAGAAAATGTACCATACTACTCTCAAATTTCCCACTGATGCTGCATCAATAAGAACAGTCATCATTTTTTCAAAATAATCTTATATTTGTATGAAAAATGCTGTACTATTTGCCCAGAAAAAATATTCTGTAGGTATACTGAGTTCTAGAGTATTCTTGAGTTTACCTGGATATGGATGGCTGAAACACAGGAAAAGGTGACATTTGTTTTCATGGTAATGGATGAAGAACTGCTGATAACACCCCTATTAAATACATGTTGCTAATAAAGTAGTATTCTTCTATAAAATCTGAACTCCTCTCCCTTCTACTTTAAAAAAGCAGGTAGGCAATAGCTGCAAAGAGCATTTAGAATGACAGCTGTCAATTCAGATGCGAAGTTTGTACTTTATATCCCTACAAAAGTGCTCCATAAATAAATATGGCGGGGGGGAGGGGGTTGGTTTGGCTGCCAAACTGAAAAGCAGGTGTGGGAATTGTTTTTCCTGATATAACACAAAACATTTTATTTTCAGGTGCTTTTAAGAACAGTGAAGCAAGTGACAAGCTACTGTACATTCAAAAAGCCAGAGAAAAAGATGGTGGCAGCAGCAGCTTTTCTTTTACCCAACAGCCTGGTTGATTAAGTTACTCAGGATGTCAGACACTGATGATCAAGCCTCTACTCTAAATGAGGGGACCTGAACCAAAGTCATTGATCTCCCAGAACAATAAAGGGTATTTTAGAATAAACTACTTCAGTCTCCATTCCAGTTAATATTAAGTATTTTATAAAAAGTAATACTCCACCCAAGAGGAGAGAGAGCGAGCACAATCCATTCTAAAATGACTTGCAGTCCCTGGGGTTAGAGCATTTCAAATGCATGGATTTGGGATTTAGATCAAGATCTCTCACCTCTAAGAAGAATGACCTAAACAGCATCTTACAGAATTGTTCTCTCTCCAGCTCAATTAGTTTTATATATTCCATGAAAAAAAAAAAGAACAACTTCAAGATCCAACTTCAAAAAATAGATCCACACTAAAAAAAGACCCAGGCACTCTCTTGGGACAAGGAGCAAAATGGATCCCAATCTTCTCAGACGAAACAAAGAGGTCTTTGAAACTAACCACTTGGTTAGGTGGGCAAAAGGGTATCTGCAATAGCACTGACACGCTCCTCCTCCTTCACCTAGCAGTTTTCTTTGTTCTTATTAACAAAAATATCCAGGAACCTTGAACGGTCCATTTCATATTTCTGAAATTGCTGTTGAATGATTTCTGCCGAAACTGCATTTTCAGCAAGTAAATGATTCACTAAAGAAATTTCACCCAACTCTACTTAGATGACATATGAGCAAGCAACAAAAATTTTAATTACTTTAAGGAAGATGAATATTTTACTACTGTATTCTATTTACATACTTGCTTTTAAAATGATGTTTTCAAGATTATTTGAAATTTTCTTCTCTTACAATTTTATTAACTTTAAGTAAGCTAGTTTATTCATATTTAAGCTAGTTTGTTCATAAGCATCAATTTAAGAAGCTTCTTTTGAAAGCATCTGGATAGCTTCATTTCTGTTCACATTTAGCACCAAATCCAAATCAACTTTGTAGGTCACCTTAACTGACTTACGTTGAATTTAGGCACAGAAGACTGTTTGACACTGACAACTATACAAATGCTGCTATATATTCTCTTTCACCAAGAATGCCAAGCTAGTTTTATATGACGCAAAATATCATACTTAAGAATGTTCCCAATTTAATTTTAAAAACTTTGCTTCCTTTTCTTAGGTTCAGGTCCATGACAAGTCATTAAACAGATATTAAAAATTGTGGCCTTGATCCTGCAAACACGGCACATATAGTACACCTTACATTCAAAGGGAAGCTGACATGAATACATTTAAATAAGGGAATAAGTGCTTTCAGGATTGGAACTTAAAGAAATAAGTTTCACTGCATTTAATACATATTCATTTTGTGATCATAGAAACTGAAAATAACTTACCTTTTTGCAGTCACTCATAAACTGTGTATGAAGTGCCATCATCCTGTTGCACTCTTCCCTTATCTTGTTCAGAAGAGTTTGCATATTTTCTTGCAAGGCTAAATTACAAAGCAGAATGGTGACATTTTCCATTACATTTACACTTACTGTACCACTGTACATTGTCTTTTAATATGGTAAATTGCTCACATAATTTGTCACAAGATTATTAGCATAAAAATGATTACATAAATAGGCAGGGGCCTGTATGATTTTGCACTTTGTATACATCTCCTTTTATAGTTTATGATAAAACCTCTGTTTTTCCAGAAACGTAAGGAGAAAAATCATCTCTTTCACTAATCCACATGAAATTTCTACTGTAATGAGCACTGTAAACAGTAAAGTACAGTATAGCACTCATAATAAAGGCTGTTCAGAATACTGACATATATTCAAATACAACTAGTCAGTTAAGTACATTTGTATCCATTTCACTCAGAAATTCTGAGCGTAAATATTATTATTTAGCTTAGTTCAATAATTTCCACAAATATATTAGCATAACAGTATGAGCAAAACCCAAAAGTTACTGGCAGGTAGGGTGTGTGCGGGTCTCTCTATCTTACCTTGAGCTTGAACTCTCTGTATCGGCAATTCAAGGTTAGATTTCTCTCTCTCAGTAAAAGCAGCATGGGATATTTCTTGTTCTCCATCACTAACTTCAACAGTAGTTGAGTACTGAACACTGCACAAAGACTACATAACAAACAAGAATATTAAAAAATGAAAATGGTTTATGACTTCATGAAGACAAGCAAACTAAGAACAAAAAATAGCACTATCTATGGAAGAGTATCTTCTGTAGAAATCACTGTATGCAGCTGTCTAAAGTTTTCAGATAAGAGACCCTTACAATTTGGATAGACTGAACAAAATGTGGAAAGTAGAGTCCTTTTAGGAAAAAAAAGCCATTGCATTAAAGTGGATGCTGCCAAATCTTGCAAAGTTTGCAGAATAAGGCCTACTTTGTGGTTGGTCACAGATGAATTCATATTGCCTCATACCTTCATTCTGATTCCCTAATCTTTTGCATTTGAGAAATAACCTCTACTGTGGAAAAAATACAAGAGTCCTACAACAGGGGACAGATTTTTGCAAAGATCAGTATGTACTATTATTAAGGATATAAATCAAACAGGTGGAACAAAAAGGGAATGATGCAAGTGAACACAATCCCCGCTCCAGAATTAAAAAAAAAACAAACTTAATTTGTTTGTTGCCACTGGGTTAAGCAGAAAAATACATGGCATCTTTATGATAACCAGGATAAAGGAAGCAACATTTTTCCATGGTAGTGGTACTGTGTTGAAGGTATAGCTGTATGCTGAAAAAAGTGACTGCAAAGATAGCTTTGTGGGGTTTCTCTCTGAATTTCAGTTTACAAGATTTAGAAAAAATTATCTAGCTAATTGCCCTATAAACTTAACCTGGCATCTCAAGAATTATTGTTGTTCTTTCTGGCTCTGGCACTATTATTTTATTTATGTGATTTACAAGCTGCCCTTCCAAACAAAGGTTTAGGGCAGCTTACAGTAAGAGACGGACCAACTTAAAAGGGAAATTAAAATAAATTAAACAAAATAACAAAGTAAAATAAAACAAAATGAAGCAGAAATCCCCTAAACAGCATCTTGGCCTGTCCAAATAGAAAGGTCTTGCAACACTTCTGAAAGAGTCCAGGCTTGGGCTCTGGCAGGCTTCAACATGGAGGGAGTTCTTTGGGCTCTGGCAGGCTTCAACATGGAGGGAGGTGGAGGGCTGAGGAGCAATGGCCAAGAATGACCTCCTATGTGTTTCTACCAGCTAGACTTAAGAGTACTGATGGTACTTGCAGGAGTATTATTTCCTAGTAATACTATAGAGTCTGCATTTAGAATTAATTTACTAGTTTATTTGATAGAACCCAGTTCAATCTCTCTGTAGTAGCTCCCAAGTACAGTTCATGAAAACTTTAGTCAGGAAATTAACTGGGCTACACAAGCGGTTCTCTGTAGTAAGAAACAGTGACATTATTGCTTCCTTCTGATTGTAAGTAGTTGAATATACTATACACTATTAACACTGAAAATAGAATCCATGATTTTTTTAGGTGCTTCCTAGAGCAGAATAATAACATGCTAGAAGAAAAATAACATGCTGTCTTCCATGAGGAGATATAAATTGGACCTGTGTAAAGAAAGAGGTAGAACCAAAAGAAAGCAGCCAGGAAAGAGGGCTTACAACTGCAATATCAATACAATTATGTGATCATCGACAAAGGTTAACAGTGCCTGATGAAACAAAAACTCCCCACACTTATATTCAAAATAGATAGATGTCTTGTATGTATTTTAATACAGTGAAATGCAAGGTCATATGCCCCTAGAAATAAAGAACAGAAGTAATATTTATAATGTGAGACTACTCCCTAAAAAACAATGACTTTGGTAGATAATCAATTGAACATAATGTCTCAGTGCAACTCTATGGCAAGCAATCATTAGTAAGACCTCTGCTGGAATACCATGGCCAGTTCTAGTATCTACACTTCAAAAAAGAAGTTGAAAAATTGGAAAGGGTTTAGAGAAAGCTAAAATAACTAAGTGAGAAGTAAAAAAACATGCCTTATGACCAGGGAACTGGGTTTTCTGTTCACCGTGAAGAAATGCAGAAAACACGGATTTTCTCCTTTAAGGGAGAAAACACGCAGATGTTCTCCTTTAAACTAGAAAAAACACAGATTTTATATCTTTCAAACGGAAAAAATACAGGAAACACCCAGGTTTCACCTTGTAGGCTGGCAACCTTCCAGCTTGCAAGGGGCTTTTTGGGTTGGGGGGAGTTGGGGAGGATAACTGGAAGCAGGGGGTGCCACATGCATGTGCATGCATGTATGGCCAGTCTAGGATAGCATGCCAGTGCAGAGCTTTTCCTTTTGGAGGCTAGGGACCATGGAGCCCATTCTGTGCCTGCTGGCAGGTACATGCAGAGAGGTGGTGATGGGGAGGGAAGGCCAGGCACATGGAACAAGAGTGCCCATGGGAGGAGACACCAGGCCGTGAACGCTGCTGGGCGTGGCCAGGGCCAGGGTCCATTGTGGCTCCGCAACGGGCAAGGAGAGCAATGGGCCTTCCTCTATCAAGGAACCACGCCTGCTCCCCCAGCCCAGGGGTTTGAACTCAAACTTTGGTAAGCTCCTCTCTCCCACAGGCCCATGCACACCTGTGAGCCTAGCAATCGCTCTCCCTGTTTCCCCATGCCACCAGGCACACTCCCATCTCTGCTGACCTACCCTGCACTGCCTCCCTTCCCCATTTTTGTTTTGTTTTGATTGCACAGCTGACCGACATGGGAGGGGGGGAGGGAGGGGGCGGGGAAATGCTGCTTTACCAGAGGAGGCAGCATGTTAGTTGGACCTGGTGCCTTATTTCAATGATGACAGTTAAACATTGGGAACTGTTTACTTAAGGACCTGGTACATTCTCCATTATTAGAAATCTTTAAAAAAAGATTTAAAACATATACTATAGGTTAAACAAAAGTTATAGACTTGAAGCGGAAATTACAGGGTTAGGCACTTTGGTCTGCATTATGTAGAAGGCTGACTAGTGATCATAAACATTCCTACTGGAATTAAAAGTTATCAGTTCAGTAATTCTGACCATAAGAGTGACATTCTATTCTTTTCCTGGTCCTTTAAGCATTCAGATTTGGTTGTTTACATGGTGTTTTAGATGATCAAAGTGCCAAAATGTCACCTACACAGAGGTTAGCATTCTATTTTTGGGGATATAGCCATGTGCACATGGATGACTGTGTGACTACCTAGTTGAACAAACTGCACATGCATAATGGTGGTTGGGGCCCATACTCATATCCCTTGTGGACACAGACTGCATCCAGATGAGTGCTCATGTGTGGTCTGCTGTGCCTCAGGCTTTTGAGGGTCGCAAAATGCATGCACTGCATGCGAAAAGGTTCTCTTTGCTGCCTATTTGCAGGGTGGAACCAAAATTAGATACCAGGAAATCCTGGTATCTAAAAAAAGAAAAGAAAAAAAGGAAAACCGGTTTTAAAAAAAGCAGGGCAGTGCACGTGGCTGCAGCATGTGCCGCCCAAAACTGGAGACTGGCTGGTTAGAGCCACATTCAGGCTGCCTGCCAGGCTCCGCATGCCCGGAAGGCCCCCAGGAACCACCCAGGGAAATTTGCTATGCCACGGAACGTGTGTGCAGGGGCATTCCCTGGGGAGAAGTAGCAGTGGCACAACTATGTGCCGCTGCTATTTGTCCCCAGGGAAACGCATATGCATATTTGCCTGGACATGCCTACAAAGGCCTTGGATTACCAGACATGTAGCTGGCTAAAACCCCTGGCTTAGGCTCCAGATGGTAAAAGGGCTGTGGTACACACAGTTCAGTGGCTAGGTACTTGCCAATGAAGCTATAGGTCCTGGTTCCAGGTCCCCCTCACACAAAAGGGACAAGGGACCCCAGAATTCAGGACTTCCAGCTTCCCAGGAGAATACTCTAGTTACTGAACTATTAAGAAGAAATGGGAAGTCTCTGTCTGTTTCATGTTTTGTCACTCATGCATATGCCCAGTCTGAGCATGTATGTGGCTGTCCACATATGCAGGGCTAGGCATCCAGGAACAGAATGCCAATCTGTATGCAAGTCTACCACCAGACAAACAACTAAATCTGGACACGTAGACACCCAGGAAAGAACAGAAAGGAAACAAGACAATTTCAAGACTTCAGAAGAACTACATACAAAATGCTGTTGGGGGGCAGGGGGAGCGGAAAACAGGAGCCAAAGAAATAAAGGAAGGAAGACGAAAATATTCTGGTTCGTCAAGCTACATCTACACTTGACCATGGTCGACAAGATGCCCACCTGAGAACAAGCCCCCTCCCTGGCCCTCTGGCTGCTTCTGCTTTGCACATACCCAAAGCTAGCAATTAGATAGCACAGATAGCTTGGAGGCATTCTGTTCCTGGATGCCTAGCCAGGTAACCCAGTGCTGCTCTCAGTCTGTCTCTGGAGTACAGTACTGGAAAAGAAAAAAATGTTCCAAGAAAAGCTTGCTAAGGTAGATGTGAAGAACAAAGAAGGAAAAGAGATGTTATTTATAACTAAGTAGTTCTTGATTTTCAAAAATCCCATGTAAAAATGATCCTTGCAAGGTCTTACCTGTGTAAGCCGAGAACATTCCTCAGATATTGCCTTGCTGAACTTTTCTGTAAGCATTGCTGCAGATCTAATTTCCTCATCTATGAATACAAATTATTTAGCTTATTTATTTATTGCATTACCAAATGTCATGCATTTCCCAACAAACAAAAAGACCCAGTCTCTTCTTTACGGAGCTCATAATTTTAGGATGGACAGACAGACAAATAAAAGCAATGAGAAACAGAATTTTTTCTGCTTAATATTCATGTAGGTTAGATTTAGTTACCGTAGCTGAATGAGTTTTAAGGAAAACTATGTACTGATATGTTATGCCACAGAGATTTGCTGAAAGAAAAGGAAGTGATTGTGTCAGAAGATAATACATGGGAAAACAAGAATGGAGGAATCGTAGATAAGAGTGAGGTAAAGAAATAAGCAAAGACAAAAGCTTTGGAGGTGGGTGACCAAGGGCCCCTCTACCCATGTAGGTAAAGATGAGATGGCATCTAATGCGTCATCCACACAACTGTGCTTCCTGCCATGCTGCACATGCATGACAGGAGGCGTGACTGGGATTGTACATTAGATCCCATTAGACCCTACTGCCAATGCAGGGGGAGCTCTGCACCAAGAAAATCACAGGTGCTGCAATCTCCCATCCTTGGGGGTATGTGAAATGCCCGGGGCTGGGAGATCATGGCAGATACCATCTCCTGGCCCTGGGCTCTCAGGCACAATGAGCCCCTGGAGGCAGGCTATGGGGACCCAGCATCTGTGGGACTGTGGGTCCTGGCAGCTGTGGGAGGCTGCTGGGACCCATAGTTGGCAGCTGCTGGAATTGAGAGTCCCCTCAGCTGGGGGACTCCATGCCCCAGCTGGGCATTGTGCACCCCTGTGTCTGGGAGCCCTGCAGGGGAGACCGTGCTACACAGGCAAATTAAAGCTTAATAGTAACCACCTATAAAGTTAATGCACGTTTTCAAGGTCTAACTTTTAGCTGTTGGAGCTTTTATGGCTTGATAGGTACTTTGCTTGTGTATCTGGTCTCACGATAGTTACAGGCAACCCCCGCTTAACGCTGTTTCGCTTAGCACTATTTTGCTATAACACTCATTTTAAATTGATTCCCAATTTCACTTAGCACTCAGCGAGTTTCATTATAATGATTGCAGTCACCATCCTGGGTCATTAAAAACAACTGCAGTCGCCATCTTGAGTCAAATACTTTTGGTTTCGCTTAACATTCAGTTTTTCAGGAACCAATTAAGAGCACTAAGCAGAGGTTGCCTGTACATAATTGACTAGTTAATTGCACGATACCTATAATGTGTAGAGAAGGCCACAGAAGCTTGATTAGGGTGGATAGGAAGCTATAGGAAGAATTCAAGGATGGGAACAAAAAGTGCAAAAACAGACAAGAAAGGTATTGTGCTACTGTATTTAACTCAGATTTCATTACAGAATCCAAGCCTAAACATTTCTCACATAAACCTTTTAAAATTATTGACCTAATAAAAAAAACAGAAACAAATATCTGAAAATAATCTTCCACTGCTCAGTTAACATATAGAACAAAAGTGATAATCAAATTTTTCCTAAATATTCTGAACTGTAACAATGCATGATATTTATAATGTATAGGACCTAATGTAACATTATCATTAGGTACCTACCATTTAACATGGAAACCACCTCAAATCAGTTTCTGCTAAAAATGTGACCACTATTTGAAAAGGTCCCTATTTATAATAAATTATAAATACACTACACTTTGAAAAGGCATTTAATATTTCAAAAACTCAACTGCAAAGACATATTTTGTTAGACAACTACAGATTTTTCCTCCAACTTTTCTGCTCATATGATCATTTCAAATAATTTTTTTTATATTGAGAATTGCCTATCATCATTTTTAACAATCTACCTGTTTGCTGATCTTTCAAGGTCTGGAGCTCCAACTGATGTGCTTTCTTAAGCTCATTCATTTCCTGTGCATGATTATAGACAAGCTCCTCTTTAAGGCTGCAGAGCGCACTCTCTTTTTCAGCTTGCAAATACTCACGAACTTGGTCTACATGAGCTGAATAAACTAGAGAGAGACAAATGCGCTGGGCTTCCATTTGTAGCTGTAAATCAGTCTTTGAATGAAAATAAACATATTGCAGAAAGTGAAAGATTAGAAAACAGAGTCCAAACTTTTTGTATGCATTACATATGCTAATTTTAGGGAATAATTTTAAATAATTCCAATCAAACCCTAAACACAATTATAATATTTAAATATTTGTTAACTATTATCACCTAGTTTTCATATACAAACTCTCAATCCAAATGTGTAGAATAAAATAATGTTCTCAATTTAAAATACACAAAAACTCCAACAAAATTAAAATAAAGATCAAAATCATTAAATTATCTATCAGTAGTTACTGAAAAATCATCTCACTGATTTACTTTGAAACTTATCCTGGAAAATCAAGGTATAAAGCACAAGAATTACATTTCCAACTATACCCTAGTCTCCTAAAGTCCAATAAAGCCTTTTGGATCAAGTCCTATATCTAGGGACCACTGGAATGTGGGCTTCAGGAGATTTCAGGGGAAAGCCCAAAATGTAGTATTTTCCCTAAATCTCCAGAAAACTGACATTTGGCCAAAAATGACCTGAAAACTGGGGGAGAGGGAGGGCAGGGAAAAACATAAAAAAAAAATTGCCTAAAGTGTAGAGAAGAAAAGCAGCCGAGCCCTGGAAACACTGTGGAAGCCCCACATTTCCAGGGGCAGCCTAGTACAATCAGGTTGTTCAATTCCCTGCTTTGGCAGAAAGCTTAAAAGTCCAGGCCACAGCGGAGCAGGTAAGTATCCCCTGCCTTAGGGGTTGTGGGCACAGGCATGCAGGAACTTCCTCCCTGCCCAGCATGGCTCTCCCAAGCTCCATTTTGCTTTGTTACTGCATGGGAATGGAGGGGAATTTCCCTCTCCACTTCTCTGCATGGTAGGGCAGAGCAGGGCTTGGGACACCATGCTGGGCTGAGGAAAGCCCCTGAAGCAAGGGCTCCCTGCTCCTCTCCATGCCCAGCTGTGGGGGCAAGCACCCAGCATGGGTACCCTGAGCCCTGCTCTGCCCTGCCACATAGAGAAGGTGGGGGGAAATTCCCCTCCTCTTCCGTGTGGCAGCAGAGCAAAGCAGGGCTCAGGAGACCCTGGCACTGGGCCAGGAAAAGCCCCCACATCTATGGGTGCAGGCACACAGCAGGGAGAACCTTCCCCTCCCAGCCTCATCCCACATCCAGCCAGCTAAGCAAAGCCTTGGCTCAGATGATATAGTTGGGGCTGCTCCTGCTCTGAGTAGGGGGTTGGATTAGGTCAGCATTTTTCAACCCATGGGTCGCAAGCAGATTTTAAAAGTGTCGCAGGGAGGTCCAAGGGAAACTGCTGCAAGGCTGGATGGAGCCAGCACACAGCAGGGGCAGGCGGCATGGTGAGCACAGCAGGGCAGTGTAAAGCAGTAGGAGAGGGAGGGAGGGAGGGGGCCGGATGCAGCAGCTGGAAGGGAAGGGTGTATAGAGAGTGAAAGACTCTGTGGGTCAGGGGAGGGTGTGGGTCACGGCAAGCTGATAGTTATGCTAATGGGTCCTAGCGTGAACAAGGTTGAGACCCACTGGACTAGATGACCTCCCGAGGTCCCTTCAATCATAAATTTCTATGATTTCAACATTTTTCATGGTGCAAGCTGAAAAGATGAGCAAGAGCAGTGTGAAGATGACCCATCTAGCAAAGAAATTTTTTGCCATGGATTGAGTGAAGCAGTATTCTGCAGGCATGCTTCATACAGATGGTGGCAAAACAGCTGAAGCAAAGCCTGTGTGTTGCTGTTCAACAGTATTCAGCCCCATGGTGGGCTCCCTCAGACAGAAGTGTGGGAGAGCTCACCCTGAAAAATGTGTAAAATTGACTCTGGCAAGCCTACAGGAAGCCTGCTGTTCTCCCAACTGCTGGAGCCTGAATTACAGTGACCCCCACCTATATCCACTTAGCTGTTCCAATGCAAATTCTTGTTCTACTGATTCACTACTATAATGCATATTTTAAACCTTATTTTGCTTTAAGAAAACCACTTGAACTGATTGAACTTATACGTAGTTCAGTGGGTATGTTCCACACAACATACCGGCTCCCTCATAGCTTCCAAGGAAGCTCAGAGACAAAGAGAATTCAGTTAAAACAATTTGGAGTGGAAGCAAGTGGCTCCCAAATCGTGGCCTCCCCATGTGCCCAGACCTTTAAATGACCCAGGTGCAGCCTATCAGCAGGGAGCCAGTCCCTGATACCTGGCTGTCCGCATGCTCTTTAAGCTTGATGGCGCATGGGGAACATGGAGTAGGGGAGTGGCTCCCTGATCCTGGACTCCTTGCACACCAGGAAATTTCAATAGGCTTGCAGGCAGCCTGACACTGGGGAGCAGGTCTCTGATGCAGGGCTCCGCAGATGTCAGAGTTTAAAAAGTTTAGAAGCCCAGCAGTAGGAACTAGCTTATGCTCAGGAAGTGCAACTGAAAACTTGGCCTTTGGTTTTTCTGATTCTGTAGCCATGGCTTGGTTTGGTTTAAGTTGAGAAAATCCTTCACGCTACTCTAAGTAATACTGACCATTTGTTACTCAAAGAAATCATTATGACAGCCAAGGATTCCCAGGACACAAGAATACTGGCATAGTCACTCCTTCAACTGCATAGCTGGTTTTATACCACTGAAGAATTCCCCCTCTAATGGGTGATCCACCTGTGGCTGGCTATGAGAACGTATAACATAGATCTGTGGTATTTTCTTCTAACCTGTGGAGGCTGTTTCATTATCATTAACGGAAGTGATGTGCCAAAAGGAGAGGAATACAGGATACTGCATGGCACAGGACACTAGGCAAGATGGACCTATGATCTGATCCAATAAATGGCAGTTGTAATGCTCCTAAGTATTCATGCATCATGCTACTCAGTATTAACATGCATCCAGATAAACACACAGTGCTACAAAAATGCACATACTTAAAACAGTCATTACAAGTGATTTTGTAACAATGAAAACAAATTACTTTGCTGGTCTGATAACTGATTACAGTTTGCGACTGTCATAACAGAAATCAGGTTTGGAGGCTATTACAACAGAACTGCAGATAGGGGACTGAAAGTATATTTATTCACATACTACATGCATGCTTTCTCCAAAAATTAGCCCTTCTAAACTTGGCTCTCTTAAGCAGAGAAGCTTATTTTCTAACCAAAATAAAAACATGGAAGTGCTTACTGTAAGGTGGCAGCTGCTTTTTCTTCTCTTCCCTCCAGCAGCCCTATGGAAGGATGGGTGTAGTCCAGCAAAGGCAGACCCAAGGGGCACGTCCAGACGAGCCTGCACATGCCTCTTGCAGTGTCTCAAACCCCTTTGAGACACTGCAAGAGGCATGTGCAGGAACAAAAAAACATTTTCCGCGCTGCAAATTTGCAGTGGGGGAGCAAAATTAGACCCCTAGATATCCAGGGGTCAAAAAAAATACCTCGGGTGAAAAAACTGTGCCAGGGGAAAAGACTGTACCCTGAGGCAACTGGAGGCTCAGTCCTCCAGAGATAATCTGGCAACCTGCCGTGTCTCTGTGGTTGGGCCTTTCCCCAGTCCTGAAGCATGCTTCCTGCCAGTGTGGGGCAGGCAGTGGTGCAAGCTGCAGGGACCTGAACCTGCCTTCTGCCAGGTTAGGAGGGGGCTGGAAGAGGGGGAGGAGATATTCCCCAACTCCCCGTTCTTCCTCCCTACTCCCTGTTCATTCCCCCAGCTCCTCAACACTCACTGGCAGTAGCAGAGAAGGAGCAGGAGGCTGGAGAGAGCAGGGGAATGTCTCCAACTCATTTCCAGGGGCTTGTCTCCAGCCTTGGGAGGCTGGAGACAGCAGGGGAATGAGCAGGGGGCTGGAGACAGCCCCTGGAGACATTCCCCTGCTGTCTCCAGCCCGCTGCTGGGGGGGGAGGGCGGCAGAATTCCTCAGCTGCAATTTGGAACTCATCAGTCCATTCCAGGCTTCTTTCATTTACAGAAATGTCTCATCCTCCCCTGAGCTTGTTCATAAAAATTCTTCAACCCCTCATTAAACATACTGGTGCTGGCAATGGTAGGAGTAGTAGTATAAACTGGCTGCCAGTATTTTTACTACCAACCTGGATTTGATGACCCAGTGGTTAAAAACCCCCAAAACTAAACAAGCAAACAAAACTTGCACCTGGCCCAGTCTTGAGCTTTCAGCATTATCAGCACTGGAACAGTTGCATCAGTGCTACAATAATGGGGAAATTTTAATGAAATGCCCATTATAAATACAGTTTAAAGAGGCCAGAATCACATGATTAACACATCTGAATACAGATTTGTGTGCTACTAATGACAAGTTATTGCCAATATGTAAGCAACTTTAAGATCAGATCGGCTGATTATTTAAGGCCTGATTCTTCAGAAGTCTGTTTGCCATCTAGAAAGCATGGTATCTGTGCCTCTCATTGAGAGAAATTCCAGAAACAGGTAGCAATTCATAAAAGCATGAACAAAACAAAATATTTGAGATGATAGCACTAGAAACAACTGAAATTACAACAAAGAATTAACAAGTCAAGGAGAACAGTAAACTACTGCCTTAGGACCAACCCTTGAGCAGTTATGAATCCATGCAGTGGATTGGTAACCCCAGAGCTGGCAATGTGGGTGACCACTCAGGGTGCACCACACATGCACGCACAGCAGCACCACGCCCCCTCCCCTCCGTTTGCAGCGTTGCTCCAGGCAGAGGCAGATGGACGGGGTATGGGTGTTAGTCCAGTGGGGAGGCAGAGCTGCCCATACTGTCCAGCCTACCCCTGATTCCAGCCACTGCTCAGAAGGAACTGGGCTCCACTTCCCCACCACACTGCACCCTGCATCCGTGCTCACCTGCCTTTGTCTGCAGCAGCACCACTGACTTGGGGAAGAGGGCACCAAAACAGAAGTTCATCCAGGGTGCCATTTTCCCTATGGTTGGCTCTGGGTGACTGTAATGGAACCCCAACCCCATTACTAGAAGGAGGGCGGGGGTAGGGCAAACCAAGTACCCCAACCCTTGCTGGGACTTTCCTGTCCCTTGCCTCCCCTCTCCTCAGGATCCCCCACTGGGGGTGGAAGGGAGAGGACTGTGGGAGGCCCCGCTCACAGACAGCTAGGTGTTTTCCTTCCTAGCACTCAATGCACCTGATTAGCTGGGAGTCAGGTTGCCAGACAACAGCACATGACCAGGTTAGCCAGGCAGGAGGTCAGGGGACCAGAGAAACTGGAGAAAATAAGAAGGGAATGGAACAAGAGCAGCATGCAGCTACAAAGGGAAAGCCAGAGCTGTTGGGGCTGTCCCCAGGTAAACCCCTGTGGAAGAATGGGGAAATCAGCAATGCTGTTGCCTCAGGACAACAGAGCAAATCTACAGATAATTTTTTTGTTTACATTTCTTTTGGGGTCTGCACAAGCCCCATTAACAGCCCAGGCAGGGCTTCTGGCACCAGCTGGGGATTTGAGTTTTAGTAGACAGGGAGCGTCCAGAAGCAGGGTGCCTGAGGCCAGACTGGCTTCCCTGCCACACTGCAAGGGCAGCTTGGGTTCCCATACCATGGACCTGGAGTGGGACCCTAGGCAGCTAGAGCAAATGTGGCCACTGGCAGAGGTGCCTGGCCAGACACACTTTGGAAAATGTGCCAGCCTTGCAGGTATGCCCCAGGGTGGCTTACAGTAACCATGCAGTATAACTTATGCTTGAATGTTCCTGCAGTGATACAAGTGTGGCAAAACCAATCCAAATTTAACTGTGCTTCTTTGAGGGTAAAATGTATGATTTAGCTCATTTGCAGCACTAGGGAAGCTTGCAGATATAACAGCTACAACATAACAGCTGATGCCTGCACCCAAGTACCAACTCCCCTTCTGCTTTTGAAGCAGCTAAAAGTTACCTCTGTCGGTAACCAGATATTGCATTTTAAAGCACTTTAACTTATAAAGGAATTTAGAAAGGGTATTTTTAAACTTCTCACAAACAGCAAATGTTTCCTGATAAAAGGAGCAAGAATTCTTTATAGAAGTTTAAGAAAAGGAAAGAAACTGAACTACTGAAACAACACGAGTCTGATAAGATGAGCTGTTGCAAAAAAAGACTAGATGCAGGCCCAGCTGAAATATCTAGCGGTTAGTATCTTCTGACAGCTTCCTCACATTCTATTTCTCATCCTCTGACCAAATAAATTAAAATAAAAGATTATTAGTATAGTGGCTAAAGGATGGAAAAGTGTCAACATTCCATTTTACAGGTTCAACAGAACAAGAACACTATAAAAGAAAAGAAAATTCTTTGCATTCTTTTATAGTTTGCAAATGTACTGACTATATTAGAGGTATGAACCTGTAATGAAAAATGGGGAAGCATCTTGAGGGGAAAAAAAACTAATTAACTTTCATCATAGGTAATAAATTAAAATGCTGTATGTACCAAATTTTGAAAAATAATATAAAATCTCTCCTCACTTTCAGTATACTTTTTTTTCTTTCATAAATTACTTTATTTCTGAATTTCCCCAAGCACCATTGAAAAGAAAGATCTCTGCGTGAATATATACAGATATAATCACTTTTGTAATTCCCTTTTAATTACTGATCAGCATACCCACAACAGTCAGTAAACTAGAAGCAATGAACATATTTACAATTTTTAATTAACAACTTTCATTTCAGATGCATGCCTGGTAACTCTCTTTACTATATATATTTAAGGTAACATACCTGTTCAGATTTTAATATATCTAGCTGCTGCTGAAGCTGATTATTTTCATTCTGAGTAATAGACATTAGTGATGTTTCTCCTGCTAATCTGTCAGTCATCTGATGCAAATGATCTAACAGTGACTGCTGTTCTGGATTCAGTATTTGCTGAATTGACTCCTCTGTTGTTACACAATGACTGGGCTCTTTACCCAAATTCACACTGCCTTCTCTTACTTTTATTTCCTCAGCAAATTCATTGCTTGGATCAGATATCAGAGTTGTAGTTTCAGTAGTTAGGGTGGCATTTGATTGAGCTTTTTCTTTGCAGTGTTTTATTTTACGTTCAATAATGTTAATATCGGTCTGGTTATTAATAATTATTATTTCTAATTCTTTACATCTTGATAAAACTTGCTCTTTTTCTTGTTTTAAAGATTTAACTTCTTCACTTAACTGACAAATTTCACTATGTTTGGACTTTAACTGTTCAGAAAGATCTGAAAGTCTTAAAGACAGTTCTAGTTTCTCACGCTGGGTAACCTCAAGCTTTTCCATGAGTTCTGTTGTATCTTTCTCAATAACTTCCCCAACTTCAAAAGTTTCTGCTTTGCATAACTTGTTGTCTCTAGTGCCTTCAGAGACTGAGCTTTTAGTTTTCAATATAACCAGTTTATTGCTTTGTATATTCTGAAGCTCTTCTGTCAGAGCCTTGAGTTTGGATTTATACTCAACTTCCTGTTTATTCTTGCTGTCTTCTATATCAGCTTTTACCTTTAGTAGACAAGCGTATTCTTTCTGGAGCTCTTGGTAGTTAACTTCAAATTTTTTCTCAGCAAATAAAAAAGTAGTTTTTTGCCTTTCAATTTCCTCCTTGAGTTGGATGCCCTGTTTTGTAAGCTGCTCATTTTCAGCAAACAGTTTTTCTATTCTTTTTTCTAAGTCCAGGTTTTCTGATTTACAACTAACATGGTCTTTGAACACTGAATTTTCTTCTGAGCTTAGTGAGGTGTGCTTTAACTTATCTTCTAGGACTCTATTTTCATCTTTAAGGTGGCTATTCTGTGTTTCAAGTTCTGCATATTTTTCTTGAAGGCAATCTTCTCTCTCTCTCATTTGTTTCTCCAGCAGTTCAGTTTTAAGTTGTAATTCTTGAACTTCTTGTTCAAGTGTACCCTTTTTTTTTTTTTCTTGCCTAAGAACTTCTATCTCCTTTTGGAGTTCTTGGATTTGAAGAGTCATTTCTTCTGACTTGGAGTTTACAAGAGACTGCCGTAAATCTTTCAGTTTTGAAATCTCTAATATTAGCTGATTTTGCTTTGTTATTAAGTTGTCCTTTTCAAATTGCATGGCTTCTATCTTTTGACTCATTTCATTTTGTACCCTGTCTAATTGTTGTTTATAGTGGGCAGTCAGGCCATCTTTAAGGTTTTCAATGTTTACTCTGTGTTCTTCCTGTAAATCTTCTTTAAGTTTGGACAATTCTTCTTCGTGACTAAACAAAAGCTGTGTCCTTAGTCTCTCTAATTCAGCTTCTTGAGATTCAGCCATCCTGTCCAAAACTGCATCCTTCTCCCTCTCTAGCATTTCAAGTTTTATTTTATAATTTGTGACTTCTGCTTCATGTTTTAATTCTAATTCTTTCCGGAACTCAATTTCAGAACCAAGCTGAGCTTTCAGATCTTCAATCACAACCTGGTATTTGTCTGCTTCATTTAATCTGCATTCCATAGACATTATGGTCTGTTTAGCTCTTTGAGTTTGCTCCCGCGCAAAACTCAGTTCTTGAAAAAGATCTTCAATTTGTGTTTGTTGGAGAGATTTTTCTGCTGAAATTGCTTCCAGCTGTTGTGACAAATCTTGCTTTACTTTTTCCCTCTGATGGTTAGCATCTTGTAATTTTACATTTAAGTCATTAATTGTAATATTCATTAAATATATTTCATCTTCACGAATATTATCACTTGAACAAAGGTTTAAGGTTTTCTCCATCTCAGCTTTTTGTTGGGAGAGAAGCTCGTCAATTTCTAATGCATGTTGCTTAATTAATTCTTGCTTCATTTGTACAAGTTGCTGCCCATGCATCTCATCTAATTCTGCCTGAAGTTGTGCCAGTCTCCTTTGTGTTTCTAATTCCATTCTTTGTACAATGTCAGTTTCAAATTGGCTGTCTTTATGACATCGCTTCTGCAATTCTTCCACAGTGCCCATTAACTGTTTTATTTCATCAGAGCATTGTCTTTCTTTTTGTTTGCAGTTACTCAGTTCCAATCTCACATTGTTTACTTCTTGGTTCTTTTGTATAATCTGTTCTTTTAATTCTTCAATTAATTTATTGGCATTTGATAATTTTTCACTTAAGTGAACTGCATTTCTTTCTCCTTCTGAAATTTTTGCTTCCAGACCTTCAATTAGTGTTTCGTTTTCTTGTAGCTTCTTATTGGAATATTCTCCACTTTTGTTTTTTTCCTTATAAACCAAACATATAAAATTAATCTCTGGTATCTTAGTGAGCAACTAACACATTTACATACATTTAAATCTTTTCTTAGAAATATATCATACAATTAAAATTGAATGATTTGCTAATTATTTCAGTATTTTTCTATTCATCTGAAATAACTGAAGACTCAAGATCACTTAATTTTTTTTCCCTGAGTATACCTGCATTCAATATATGTTTGGCATAGTTACTTCAAAGCCTTTTTTAAATCTCAGTTTTCCTTTCTAAATGATTTTTTAAAATTTTGGTTAAAAAATGGAAGTATACACAAATGTAACATTAAAAATCTTGGGGGGGGTGTGGAAGAGTTCTTGATGATTTTGTTAGAACTCTCTGGCTGCATCCAGACGAGCACGGCTGTGCACCATGTCTGCGGTGCCACATACCGCACATTCAGCTGATCCCTGTACTGCAAGGGAGAAGCACAGGTTTTCTTTTTTTTTTTGACCCCTAGATATCCTGGGGTCAAAAAAACCCTGCCAAGAAAAAAAGTGGAGCAGCACACATGGGGGCTGTGCACGCCTCAAAACCAGAGCCTGGTCAGTCAGAGCAACACTCTGGCTGACAGCCAGGCTCTGAGTTGCAAGATCGCCACTGCTGCAGTCCCAAGAGGCCCCCAAGGCCTGCTGGGGCCAGTCCAGTGCTGGCCCCAGCCTCCCCTCCCCTACCCGGGGTAACCTACTGTGTGCCAAAGGGCACATGGCAACGACATTCCCTGGGGACAACGAGTGGCAGCACAAGGTGTCCACTGCTACTTGACCCTGGGGAGCCAAATGCCCATGCTCATGGATACAGCCTCTGGGGACAACATTTAGAACCTGATCCAAAACCGACTCAAGACAATGGGAATTCCTGACTTCAACAGACACTGGTTTACAATCATGGTGCATATAAAGGAGCTATTAATTTTTTTTAGCGTGCAACCTGGACCACTTGAAAAATTACAAAATATTATATTAATATCCATCAATATTGCAAGAAAGTTTCAATACCAAGAGAAATAAATATGCATTGCACACATGCAACAGATGTGCATCAAAAGTGTTTAGCTAACTGTAAAAAAGTTTTGCTTACATGCTTACATTGCTACTCTTAATGGTATTTAAGTTTCTAAAGTATTCTCTCTTATGTTATAGACTTCATGGAGGATACATACATATTAAAGTTGTGCTGTAAGAAATGAAAGCACTATTTGGTTATGACAAAAAACTTGTTCAGGATTTCTTTTAATGAAAAAAAGTTGCTGACAGGTAATGCAAGAATTCTTATTCAAGTGCAGTATCCAGTTTTATCTTTATCATTCGTCTTAAATATATACCCTATATTTAGTTGTAAAGTAAGCAGCAGATATTTCAGCTATTAAACTTTACTTCTAAACTAGGTATACAATAGTGTGCACTAATAAATGACATGTAACAGACTTTCCTAAAGAAACATGCTCCTTCTATAAAATAAATTCACGGAGCCAGAAACTTCACATCCTATAATAAGAAGAGTAGACATGATATGCTGCTGTGTTTATAATTAACTTCAAAGGAACCATATTCTGAAAAAGACCAGCAAGCTAGAAGTAAAAGACATCTTTCTAAGAAGAAGTTACCATTTCATATATTGCGATTCTATCTTGCAGAAGTGTAATGTGAGCTTCAGATTCTTCATTCTTTTTTTGGTAATTTTTCAGTAGATATTCTTGTTCTTCTAGCTGTTGCTGATGTGTAAGGATTTGTTGTTTAGCTTGCAATAGGTCAGCAGCTGTACAGCTATGGCTGGTGTTCCTTAGGGTTTCACTTGCTTGTAACTTACAAATGAAAAAAATAAAGTAAATTATTTTTTTCAGTAATAGTTTTTATACTAAGAAAATAAGCTTTCAGTATCCCCTATTTTTTGCCCCACATCAGTCAACTGCATGTGTGTAAGCATAAGCCCACATATATGGACACAGTAGTTTTCACATGAGCATAAACCCATATACATGCAATACAGCAGTTTTCAACCTTCCAACCCATTGCCCACCTCCCCTCTAAATACTACAATCCACTCTCCCACAGCCCAATCTCCTCCTTTTTCCACCTGCCACTCAAGGGCTTCCCACCCTTCCTACTCTCCCCAAAACACTCACTCATTCACAGCCCCAAAGCTCATGGGTATTATGTCCAGCCCCTCTCCAAATGTTCCTATGGCCATACTAATTCATGTACATGAGCTCTGGCAGAGGAGGCTGCAACTCGCCTTCATGTAGCACTGTGGTATGGTTATTAGAACCATCTCCCATGTTAGCTTCTCTTTGGAAGTGCAAAAACATTGTGCTTATCTTGTTGAAAGAAACAACATGCTTTTTCTTCAGGCTAAATATTAAACTGCTTTATGGCCAACTAGCATAGGATGCCATCAGGACATCACTTAAGAATGATTAAATGAATAATCTGTAATGGCCATTTCTCAGAAACCAGTACTTGTAGTACTTCAAATTCACAAGCTAGGGATGCAGTACTCTTGAAGACCATATTAGATATGGCCAAGTGCTTAACACCAACAAATGCTAAAATATTTAATTGCAGCACCATAAAGTGACATGCCATTAAATCCTGATTAATCCACAATGGCTACCAGTAACCTTAACAACGTAAAAACATGACTAAAATATTAAATGATAGAACAATTTACAACTCTTAGCAGAGAAGGTAGGTGTGTAACTAAATATCTAATGGGATTCAAGTAAAAATCCAGGCCATAACAAAGCCTATGGGCTTTACTTTCAAAGAATCCATGATTTCGCTCCTATTATTTTGTTATGGCAGTTAAGTATGTCTTTCTAAGGTGGCCGTCATCAGAAAGCCAATACTTACCAGTGGCTACTATATACATATGGTTTATTAACTAGTGTATTTCCTATGATATTATATTAGTGATAACTATTGATAAATGCTAACTATTTAAAATCACTATTTATTCCTATTCCTTGAAAGTGTGCATAAAAGAACACTAATTGCTATTGCTATCATATTCAATGAACTGTTTTATCTAAGTGAACTTTACCATCAAATCTGAGGCCACACTGCTATCAATAAAACTTACATGCTGAAACTGAATTTGCAATTTCTGGCTTTGTTCAGTAAGCTCTAAAAATTCCCTCATAGTTTCATCCTTCTCTTTCCGTGCTTGCTGTAGATTAGTAGTAAGCTGGGTGATAATGTCATCTCTTTTTTTGATGGCAGCTTCAAACTCTTGCAGCTATGGAAGATTTAATTAAAAAAAAATTAGTACAAGACCAAATTATCTACCAAACATACTGTTTTATTCCAGTAAAATCAAAGTTAAAAGAATATAAAGTATATTTCCTGAACTATATTTTAAGTACTTATACACATCTACTGCTGCATTCATATTTTACAGTTCTTGTATAGTAAATGTACTTAATACTATCCAAACATAGAACATTGTTTCCTCCAAATAATTTTGACAAAAAAATCCTGAACCAAGTATAATGGAACTGATCTAAAGAATGTAATGTAGACTTCCTATTGTACCATGATTAAAATGAAGTTTAAACCAGATACTAAAAGATACTTTAACATTAGTGTGGAGCCTGGAATAAACTGTGTTTTGATCTAAAGAGAAAGAAAAATGATTTTCAACATTAAGATTGATACAAAATATACTGAAGGAAACTCAGATGATTACTTTTGTAATACAGAAGAAAGAATGAAGCACAGAAGTACCGTGACACTTCAGAATTGTTCTGAGCATCTTTTGTCAATATATTGTTTATTACATTTTGTAAGCCACAAATCCTTCGTTATTATTAACTGATACTTTCATTAAAATTTTCAATTTATTTTGGTTCAGTTTTAAAACTGCTTACTTTATTTGTACTCTTCAGATAAAGCAAATAAGCCTTAAAATTTATACAACATTTCAACTTAATGTATATGGACTTTAAACATGTCTCCCCCGATTTTAAACTGAGAATTTAATTTTCTATAAGTACATAAACAATAAAAAGCATCTCTAGTTCACATAGGGAGATATTGAATATAGGATTCAAACTACGGATTTTAAATAGGCTTGCAGCCATTTATTCCAACAGTATATTGGTCCTTCATCTGCTAACATAATTTTTCTATTTAAATCAGAACACAAAGAGCACCTCTGTACCCCCAGCCCAATTCTATTTTATAAAGAAAATAAAGACTAAGTGCTAGGGTCTTTTTTTTTTTTTTTTTTTTAATGAAACTTGCAAAAAAGTAACATTAGACAGTCAAAGGAAGACTTTTCTTATAAACCCGGACATTTATTTGCATTTGTTTTAGTACTAACATTGGAAATTTTATAATGATTTCTACTATTTAGTTAATATTTAATTCATAGCTAAAATGACTGATATAGTTATGATTCAGTACGGTATATAAGCACCGTGTTCTATTTAAGCACAAGCACCTACCCTCCACGAGCAATTTGGGAAAACAAATGAATTCTGTTTAGATCATTCCTGACTCTCTATTCCTTGGAAAACAACATGCAAGGAAGGAAAAAGAAATGGTTGGATCTATTAACAGTCTCACTCTGTAAAACATTAAGAAACCTTATCTTCCATTTTCACAGATCAGGTCCTAACTTAGTATACATGTCCACTATTCTGGATGCCAGATAACCATGTTAATACATGAACATGCACAGAGTAGGCACTTATACATGTCAAACATTTACTTTTTTAATATTCCCACCTTTCAATGAAATAGAGCAAACTAATTATATGGGCTAATCACATTATTTAATCTGTTTTTTAGATTTGATTTTGTTTTTTTCCCCCTTGAGTATTAAAAAAAAAAAACTTGACAAAACAGTAGGAACTAAATTCAAACAGTTTTCTTTTGCAAATTTTCTAGAACAAAAGATTCATGTAGGGGAAGTAAGGAAAGTGAATCTATTCAAACGATATTGTTGTTGAGAACGAACACTGTATAGCTACAGCAAATTATGTGGTATGACTGAAAAATAATCATGAGATTTGGAGTACTACAAACTATTATGGAATTCACATTAAAAGACAGAAATCTTAAAATAGAGGTAAAGTTGTCTTACCAACTTAAACATATTTCATTACAATTTCTATTGCTGAAAAGTAAACAGTATTGGTAATTGCCAAAATCTAAATCACCACAGTACTTATAAAATCTGAGCACAATGGATGCAAAATACAGTAACCAGGAACTAAGTTTAATTCATATTCATCACTAGCAGCAGAAATAATTGGTTTTTCAAACCATTTTTTATGCATGCACTGACAAAATAATGATAACCTACTACTGGTTTTTCTTTTTTACTTTTATAGCATGCTCAGTGAAAAGATGATCATATGCTAGAAAATGACACATCTATTTTCACAAGTTTGCTAAAATAAAAGGAAGAAATTCGAAGTCAAACAAAAAAATCCCACAGTTGTGATAGATTTAAGACCCTTTAATTTAGAACAATTTTCTTGTAACTTTGTCTACCAAAATAATCTTTCTATAACACCCTGGAACACAGAACAAGATTCATGAGCACGAGTCTTGTCTAAAAAAATCAACAAAATAGCCAATCAACAGAAATAAATGTGAAATAAAACACAGACTTTGGAAACAGAACCATGTTTAAAAAAATGGAACAAAAATTCAGGATGAAGGAAGCAAGCACAGTGACTTTAATCATAGTAGTAGTACCTGTTTGCACCAGGGCAGAATTTGGTCGAATATCCCTTAACCTTATATGTTTCTTTAAAACAGATGTTCAAGTTTTAATGCAAGAAACAATTCTTGCAACTGCAAATTATAAAACATTTATTAAAATGTCTATCCAACTACCTTCACAGAAAATCAACCACCCAATTCAGGAGTGCTCTCACTCTTCAGGAGGTAGAGCTTTATAATGTCTAGCCTAAAAGGGGCAAGGGAAATGTACTCTGTGCTGTTACTGAATAATTAACAAATCATTAGAACTTTTCTTTGAGAAAACCATTCTTCCACTCCTCTGCGCAAGAGAAGCAGAGCAATAGAGTGAAAATCTTGGCTATATGAAAAAATGAAAGAAAAATATGCAAATGAAATGAAAAATATGAAGGCTAGACAGTGGAATTTCCTTTTATGTACAGATGATGCATACTGAGGAAAATGTATGCCTTCTGGAACTGAAAAAGTCTGTATTCTACATTCAGAGAAACTGAATGTTTTTCTTTTAGTACAAATGCTTCCAGGAGATGCTCAGTATTTCTGTGTAACCAAGTAGCAAACAGAAAGCAACACAAGGTAATTATACCTGTTGCAAACCTTCTGTACCATATGCTGCCCTCATTTCTTCTAGCTCTCTGTTTAGTTCTTCAATCTCTTGTAGTTTCCCAGCCAATTCATTTTCCATCATCTCTAGCCGTGTTTCAGTGTGCCGCATTCCATGCTCAGAATAAATATCTCCAACTCCAAATTCTTCTTCCTAAATCAATCCAAATTCCTTAACAACCTAGCTCTTGTATGTTTCCTCAAGGACAGCAGACTCAAATATTGATTTCTGTATCAAATGCCACATTAGAATATTACAATACAATATAGCATTTAAGAGTTTATTGCCATGGAAACCTCCTTTAATAATATAATTTACACCTTAGAAGCGATGACGTTAGATTCTTTGCAAGTTCCGTGTTAAAGCTAAGCTTTATGATAGAAACAGAGATGTTTATTTTCTGTATTTCATAAAAGATGCAACATTATGTGTGTTAAGATATCGTACAATAACAACAGACACACAGCTTAGCATGCAGCAGAGATTTTGTTAGTCAGGTAATTTTGTTTGCACAGCAGATTATTATACAACTTGTTTAATGTTTTTAGTAACCAACATTAACTTGCAATACTGTACCCTGATTAAATCTGCAGGTATAGATGTTCTTGTCACAAAACTGCAACCATTTACCTGTATGAAGACAATTTCTAGATACATTATTATTTAAGATAAAGGTTAAAATTCTAGTTTCCTTTCAGTTAATTACATTTTGATTTTTCTGCAGATTCCTATGAATTCTTATATAGCAGCAAACTATAACATCATTTAAAATGCATATAGTTGATATATATATATATACTGTTCCAATTATCTAATGCATCTGAATTGCTTTGCACAATTCATTCATAGTAAACTGAATGTAAATTAGCATAGGTTCAAATTTTAAAATTTTTATTTAAACCATGACTACTGTCAATTGTATTAACCACATTAGGAATCTAGTACATAGAAAAGCAGGAGATTCAGATTTAAAGAAAAATACAAAGCTACACTGACAATTTTACAAGACTGAAAACTAGTGTATACAATAACAGTAGACCAAAGCTATATCTGAAAAAAATATCTGAATTCATACGTTTTTAAAATGGCTGAGAAAAGCAATTAAAGAATCCCTTAAATTATTTTAAACATATCAATGTTTAAGAGAGGCACACTTCAGAGTTTGTCATTTCTAAAGGCATCTAAATCTTCCCCTCATGGAACCAGAGCGACTCTTTTAGATTTTTATAAAGTAAAAAAAGAGACTTGATTTAATGATAAATATTTGAAAAATCATTTCTCCCCTTTCACTTACCTAAAGCTACAACCAAGTGTAGTATCCATGAGAATCCATGTGGCTCTACAGACCACAACCCACTACTATAAACAGCCTCCAAAAATGAAGCACAACCCAGAAAAATTTCTTACAGATCAACAAGAAACTTATGAATGCAAAGAATACTGAAGTAACTTGGGTCAACATTCAACTCTCTTGCCCCAAACCACACACAAGACTTTTAGTCAGCGAGCTCTTTAACCGAGGGATAAATCCGTTTAGAAGACGGCCATACTTTGCTCAGAACTCTTCACCACATAGAGTGAGGACTTCAGATGCAGGGAGCTACTGCACTATCATCACTGCAGTGTTTAAGTAAAATCAAAGTACACAAAATAGACATCTACTGAGAAAATGTATAGTGCAGGGTTTATTTGCCCATCATGTCTGAGTAAACCTTTAAGTGTAGTAACAGAAAAATCTGCCAACATGCATTGGATCAGTCTGACCCTCAATTCCGATTAAAGCAGCAACGCATCCAAAGTAAGAGTGTAGCACTCCTGAGTGACACCCTGGTTGACAAAAACAGTCAGTGATTTCATCTGGAAAATTTAAAGTATAGACTTCCTTAACAAGATAACCACAAAACATAATTTTTTGAAATCTGGAAATAACTGTATAAAATGTCATAAATGCGAAGAGAGTACAGTAAATCATCCGTACTAAAATGAAAGATGTCTTTTAAATTACTTATAATCTATTGTGTGACAGTAAATATTTATTTTGTATTTGTACTGTTTCAGCAAACAGTGCATATTAAGAGAAAACTTTTTTTTTTTTTGTAGAGATACACTTGTTAGTGGCTGTGCTATGGAAAAACAATTCAGTTATTCACTCCAAATGCCAGCAGAGGTCAGAATTAAATGTACCGAACCTTGGAACGTTAAATCTCTCATCATTGCTACAAAACTCTACCAGATTTTTGATTTCACAGACCTAGCCAGCCCCAGCATGATGTTTTACTTTACAAACTTTAATATTAATCTATTACCTGGAACTATTCCAATATTAATACATTGAATTGGTTAAAAATTAAGGATTCATCCATAATATAAATAGTTCTTTTTAAGTATCAAAGCACTGTAATGCACAGACATTTTAATATATAACAAACATAACAAAACTGTCACACAGACTGACAAGTTAACTTTTGGGTAACAAGAAATGTACACTTTGATTTGTTTACAAGAGTATATGAAAACTTCTGGAATGGAAGATGTATTTTTATTTCATATCTTTAAAACAATTCATCTTTTTATTTCATTTAGAATGCGCTTTATACTGAACATGAGTGATAGTAAACACATTTTATTCAGGAATTATTTCATTCTGATGGAAACATTTATTTTTAAAATAAATAATGTTATTAGTGCTCCCAAACAGCGTTGCTAGCATTGCTGCAATACTGCTAGCTGACAATATTTTCCTATAATGTGTTCCTTTATTAACTCATTAAATAAAAAAGAACTGATTTAAAAATGTACATATTTGAAGCTGCTTCTTGAGCTTCACCACACTTATAATCCTTGATCGCTTTATTAATCTTGTAACATAATGAGTTCTCCAATACAGTTTTAATCTATTTTAATATAAGTAATATTTTAGCATTCCTATAATTAAAACAACTTGGCCAAATTATTTCCGTTATTCTTACTTTTACACTATATATAAGTAAACCACTTTTCTTGCTTGTATTATTAATACATGCAAATTTAAGTCCAATTAAAGCAAATAGGTATTTTTTAATATAAAAATTGGTGGTTTTAAAAATAATGCATTGGCTAACTTTCCATGATATAACAACATGTATTGAATTACCTTCTTTATTATAGGTAAAAGACCAATTTGTACAATATAATGAACTTTCTGATAATAGCCTTATTTTCTTCACCCTACTAAAAAGATATTAATAGCATTTTCTTTTTTTAATGGTCTAACGGAAGGGAAAACAATGGCTGGAAGTCTCTGAGTACTCTTATAAAGGTACAGAATATGAGGTAAACTTTAGGGGGTACAAGGAAGGGAATGAGAAAGGGAAAGGATCGAATTTTCATCAAGAAAGCTAAAAGAGAATTACAGGGGTGTAGGTTGTAGCTATGTTGGTTTAAGGACATAGGCAGACAGGGTTCTTTGGGTGAATCTGATATCTTTTATTAGACCAACTTAAATAGTTGGAAAAAAAATTTGAAGCAAGCTTTCGAGTTCAAAAACCCTTTGTCAGGCTAAGGAAGTTTCAGCAGTTGGTGTGTGCTCTTCCTGGATGGAATGAAAAGTAAAGAAGCCAGGGGCTGGGCTGGTATGCATACAAGACAGGTAATCAGTGAAGATGTAGACTGAGGAGTCAATGGGTGAGAGAGAGGCTGGGTGGGGGGAGAGAAGAGGGATGAATAGTGGAGTGGTACCTGGGGAGTCAGATATCAGGCAGGTTATAATGTGTCATAAATCCAATGTCCATAAAAAGAGAATTATGATGTTGAGAAAGCCTGGCATCTAAACTATAGCTCTGAACACACAATCAATTATAATTATTAAACTTAAATGCTATATTAAAAGGTTGCAATCTTTCACAAAGGGATTTATTATGAATTAATTTATTACAAATGGGCCTAACTAAATTTTGGTTTTTACTGTCGTATTTATACACAACTGAAGAAAATGGAACAAATTACTTCATATCCAACAGAATTTCAGGAAAACAAGAATTCTGATATTTGCAGTTACTTCTTTCCCAGCTCTGCTTAGGAAACTGTACTCTATCATTAGACAGGGTCATTATAAGCAATTTCCTCAACAAAGGAAATATTTGTCAAAGAATTTAATCCAGCTCTTCAAGGCAAGCAGTTAACAACCTAGGCAGTCATATGGCTTACACTGCCAGCCTTAAATAAGCCAACAAATTTTAAATTATTGAAGTAACAAAGTATTACAATAGAACGCCGAATTATTGTTATTTGAGCACTATTATTTCCGTATTGATGGGAAAATATTTTTGGTAAATACAGAGGGTGTGCTATTATTACTACATTAATATCAACATTAATTATTTATATTAAATATTATTAATTATGATATATCGATCTCTACTTATATAGGGTGCCAGGTTAAAAAGAACTTTGTACTCTGTAGATGTTAGCACAAATTTAAATAATAAAACATTAATAAAAATAAATCCACATTCACCCTTGTTTATCATAAATTATTACAGCTATATCCTTTGTGCACTCACTCTCTCTTTCCTAATACTTGCAGATTTTCTTGGGTTTACAGCCTTCAACAACTGCTCCTTATGTTTTGAGTTGCTTATACTTCTGGGATAAGTAGGGACCTACCGAATTTGTGATTTCACAAATTTCACAGAAACCACAAAATCAGTAGGTCCCCATGAAAAAAGTGCAGGGACTGCAAAAAAGCCAAAAAAATCAGTCAGAGAGTGGGGAAAAAAGAGAAAGGGAGCTGTGTAAACAGAAGAGGGCAGGAATCTCTGGCATCCTGAAGCATGGGGAAAGGGAGAGGAGGGGAGGGGAGATTTTCACAGCACAATGTGGCAGGGCCCCCACCCCCCCTTTTCGCGGCAGGATGGTGCCCCCCCCCCCCCCCCGACTAGCCAAGGAGTGCCAGAAGCCCTACCCTTCTGTGGAGATTGACAGATAGCCATCTGTCAATCTCCAGAGAAGGGCAAAACTTTTACAGCCCCTTGGCCAGAGGCATGGGGGGCCCCCAACACACTCCACCGTGAAAATGGCAACTGGTGCCAAGCTCAAACTGCAAAATCAGGAGGCAGCCACCCCAAATTCGGTAGGTCCCTAGGTATAATTTCTCACGGATTCATACCATACTAACATGAATATCTAATGTTCCCAAAGGAAGCTCTGTATATATATTGGACTCCCTTAAATAGTTCCAATTACCTCACTGTGTTATATACTGAAAACAAATTCTTGATTTTACTGTGGCTGTCCTTTGCCTACAAATGCAACTCTCCCATTCAACAGCAAATTGTGCATGTGTCAGCTGCACTTAGGCTTTACATATGCTTGCATACATGCATGTGTACACAACACATACACAGCTCCCAAAGGTCCTTCCTACCTTCTTCTCCTTTATGTTCCCTCACCACAACATATAGTAAGCATATTGTGCATGTATGAATGAAAGATTAAACCACTAATCTGAGCAGACTATCTACATTCCCCATCTAGATAGAGCTGGCAGCAATCATTCAATTGCAGCTATCCTTACTTATTTCCTGTTTTACAAGATCCTGTTTTAAGGTGCTACTAATATTGCCCAACTTTAACTTATTTGGGCTGAAATTTTCTGCATGAAGTGTTTGATTCACACTGAACCTTTTTTGAAAGGGTCAGCTAAAATTGTTCGTCCAGTACAGAGAATGAAAAGAGGAAAAATATGCTGTTTTTCAATGTTAAAATTTCTTATAAATGTTGTATTGAGAAGCTCGCGAATCCTCATGATTTCCAGTATGGCCTTAAAATGTGTCAAAGAGTGGTCAGAGATATACCTTTTGACATTCCTATAAGAATCCATTCAATTCTGGTAAACTATAAGTTCTTGAACAATCTCATTGTGAATGCTAGAGATTTTCTAAAGTTGCATGCAGCTCAATTCACCAGAGATGCTATAAACATTAAGCACAATCCAGCAACTTGGAATTCTTACATATGGCTGCTCACATACCATTTTTCAGGAGGAACTGAACCTGACTGAAGCCTAGGACTACAAAAAGGTTCAAAAGGAATTTCCCTGCAATTGCAGCAATGGGCTGGTGTGGGACCCTGGATCCCTCAGCAGGGAGACCATCTGTAAACGTGGGGGTGCAGGTGACATCCACAGAGGGATGGGGGCAGGCGTGATCTGCGGGGAGATGGGGGGCAGGCACAACCAATGGCAGCAATGGGGGGACAGGTGTGACTTATGTGAAGATGGGGGGCAGGCATGATTTGCAGAAGGGATTGGGGGGCCAGGAAAGATCCATGGGGGTGGGCGGTAGGCACAATCTACAGGAGGAATGGGTGGCAGACAATTTGGGGGAGGGTGTCCTGGGATCAGAAGGCTTGCAGGGTCCATAGGGAACTTGGGGAGGTGTGGACCAGAGAGGCAATTTTTAGCCCTCCCCAGCAAATCAACACCCCCATCCCTCCCCACACTTACTTCCTAGGCTTCCAGCAGCAGCAGCAGCAGCAGCAGCAGCAGCAGCGGGTGTTGACAGCACCTGGAGTGGCTTGTGGGATAAGAGGGCCTGGCTGGTACATGGTGGAGGACAAGGGCTGGTGGGGCACTAAAAATAGTTTGGTGCCAGGGGAGGGGCAGGTAGGTAAAGTTCAGCTGGTGCTTGGGGCCAGTGCCTGGCCTTTCCCAGCCCTAGGACTATGCAGGTAATGTACTGAAGCTTGATGCACCAATCTAACCTAAACTGATTAAGTTTGAGTATACATCAATCTAGGTCTACCTTAGACTGGGTTCTGCCATTTTTAGACCTGTCTATGTGTGTGGAACTTCTGTACTGTTACAGGCTTATATTGATTTCTAATCATTAAGATCCAAATGCAGGGTCTGCACCAAGATGAATTAAGTTAGATTGAGTGGCCATTTTTAACATGATCTAGCCTCCTTCTAACCCCTACCAATGTTTGCACTTAGCTTCAGCTATAACCTTCAACAGATGACCAAAGAAACTATTATACAGTTTTTGAGGAATCATCAAGGAGTAATAAAATTAATAGCTTATTAGCATGAAACTATTAAGGACATCATCCTTTTCCTATTCAAGTCAAAGACAATATTGACAATGACATAAGTACGACCAGATAATAACTTTGCATGGTATTTTTTCCTATATTTAAACAAACCAGTGGTTTCCCCATTATTTGGAAATTAAAAATACTCTTGGCATTTAATTCTCCAAAGAAAATGAATAGATAGAAACAGTTGCATAATTAGAACTATGAATGGTATCAAGACGTAACTGAAGTGAGGAAATTATTACATTGGTTTGCAAACTTACCGCTCTAATTAACCATAGTACCCATCCTATTATTTATCTGACATACTGTTTATTTAGCTGTGACTTAACAGCAGTTTAGATGTTAAAAGCAGGTAACATTCCATGTCACTTATAACATTTCAAACTAATCCTTTATATCTTTTCTTTCTTTCATTTTGGAAAACCAAAATATTTAAACTTGACAATGATTCAATGTGACATTTTTAAAAATGTTACATTACTCTTACCTCTGAACTATAATCTTCAACCGTAGTAGAAATTTCACTTTCTGGCTAAAATAGGAGGAAGAAAACAAACATTACTTAAAATTACACCAGACTTCAAAATATATTTTCCATTTATTTCACTGGATGTGCACAATGATTAAAGTATTTGTGGTATCCAATTATGTCTGTACACTCCTCTATGCTTCTAGTTATTTTATATTATCAAAAAGGGTTTTTACAAGTATAAACTTATTTTGTTCAGGGGTCATGTATAGCTACAGTGACAAACCCTTCTAATGGGTTGGCAGCTGATACGGGCAAAAGTATGCTTGTACCAGTATAGTTACATCAACATCCTGAACAAAATAAAGATATACCAACAGAGCACATCTGACAGAAAAACTCATCCGTAGAAGGGTTATACTGGTAAAAACAGAAATAATATTCCATAAATGACATTAAGTAAAAATTTCCAGTGTAGACTCCAGATATTAGTCGAAGTATTAAACACCTTCAAACACCATGGGAGTTGGTATAAGCTGAAGATAATTTATAGCTCATCATCTGAAAGATGAAGTATAAAGAGTACATAGACCAAATCTTGTAAGCAGAGCCACATGGATTCACACATTTGTAGAAATAGGGCTTTCATTTTAACAAAATTGACAAACATTCTGAGTAAGTGATTTATTAGAAAACAGCTTTATTAACTGGGTTTCAATATTTAACTGTTGCTTCTAAAGCAACATTTCATTTACATGATTTTCACGGTTGGCATGTTAAAAATGCTTCCTATCTTTGCTAAACCTAAATAATGTAAAAGTGCGTATCAAACGAATACCATGCAAGCAGACATTAGCAGAAGGGGAATAGCTTATGTAGGGTTCAATACCCATTCAATACCATTTAAATCATACTGACTCGAACGTAAACTTGTTTTACAAAATATAAAACAACTTTTATATAAAATATGAAAAATCTGGACACAGTGGCCTGAAAATGTATTTTATCTTGTTCTGAAAAATAAAAACAGAATGAACTTCTTTATCTTTGAATTTATTTCTTCTCATTTTAAATATCTGTCAGTCTCATTAACAGATTATGACATTAAATTATTTAATGCACAACTAAGAATCACTTTCTCACTTGGCACTTCTCAACTATTTTCCCACTAATTTATGTAAATAATATTGCACAAACTTTTCATGAGGTTTCTGTCATGGAGTTTCCAATGGAGAACTATTTCAAGAGGTGTGGTTTGCACTCATGAAGAATGACTAAGTATCTAGTCATCAAAAAACAATCAAGACAACTCAGTAGAATTTCATTGCATATGGGGGTAATGCACAAGGCTAGGGCAATCTGCAAATGTGTTTGTAGTCCTACAAATGTCTGTCCATGGCCCAAGTCTTAAAGCAGTTAATTTACACCTTATGCATCAAAACTGAATCCTATGCATCTTCCTTCACATCAGAAAATATGACTACAGATAAACATACAGATTTCTATTACTACTGTAAATATCCATGGGCTCCTGGGACAAAGCTGGGACTAACCTACAGTATGTGGTAAATCTGTGGTAAATCTGTATAAATGCTATTAAGGTAACAAGGGTTTAGGTTGTAGCCGTGTTGGTCTAAGGACATAGGCAGACAAGGTTCCTTGGGTGAATTTGATATCTTTTATTAGACCAACCCAAATTTGGGTTGGTCTAATAAAAGATATCAAATTCACCCAAGGAACCTTGTCTGCATTAAGGTAACAATGCCCTTACTAATCATGGGTATGTAGTTGTGTTGTTCTAAGGACATAAGTAGACAAGGTTCTTTGGGTAAATCTGATATCTTTTATTAGACCAACCCAAATTTGGGTTGGTCTAATAAAAGATATCAGATTTACCCAAAGAATCTTGTTTTACTAATCACAGCACTACATAGTCAGGAGTCTCTCAACTGGGGTTTTCAAGAGTAAAAGTTATTAGCCTTAGCACCCTAATGTTTTGAGCTAATCTGGTCACATATTAGGGTTCTGAATCCTCTCTGGTACATTCCAGATAATCCAGTTAGGATTCTTAACCAAGTTGATAATCATCTGGTATATTTTACCGTACCTAGTTTAAATATATAGTTCTGCTGACAAGTACAACAGTATAAATAACCTTTCAATTTATCTGCCTCTATTCCACCCCTTTTTGACAGAATTTAGGTTACCACTGACTCGGAGGATTTGAAGGGAACTGACAGGATACTAGGGCTACCATATCGCTAGGTCCAAACAACAGGACACTTGAAGGTGGGGGGAGCGGGGGGAAAATATGATGGTGGGGGGGCCGTGACAAGCCGGTGCCCTCCCTCTGCCCATTCTGTTGCCCCTCACTGACAAGCCATAGCCCCCCCCCCAGCCCCACTGTTGCCCCTCACTCCAGACCCACTGACCCCATCCCTGCCAGCACACCTCACTACCAAAAAGCAGTACCCTGCCCCTGCTCCCTGCTGGTGCCCTTTACTCCTGACCCACAGCCTCCTGGCATTGCCACTGACCTCCACACCCAAACCACAGTCACTCCCCCATGCCCCTCAAACCTGATCCACAGCCCCTGCACCCCTCTCCCAGCCCTGCCGATGCCCCTCACTCCCGACCCGTAGCCTTCTGCCTCCCCCTGCCCCCCCAGCCCTGACAATGCCTCACTCCTGACCCGAAGCCCCCGCCCCCCAGCCCTGCTGGTGCCCCTCACTCCTGACCTGCAGCCCCCTGCTCCCCCGAGCCCTGCTGGTGCCCCGTACTCTGGACCTGCAGCCTCCTGCCCCATCCAGCCCTGCTGGTGCCCCTCACTCCTGACCTGCAGCCCCCTGTCTCCCCAGCCCTGCTGGCACTTGGGACCTGCAGCCTCCTGCCCCATCCAGCCCTGCCAGTGCCCCTCACTCCCAATTTTCTGTGCTTCCTGCTACCTCAGACCTCGCCCTGCTCCCACCAGCAAAGCAAACCAAAATTGTGAACTCTGCTCCCAATTGCGCAGGTGCCGTGCTACGTATTTTGGGAACTGTAGTTCTCCCTAGTGGGGGCCATGTTGAAATGGACCAAGGAAGGAAATCCTGGACTTTTTGCTTACATTTAAAAAACCCACTTGGACGCAGCACAGGGGGCCAAAAAAGAGGACACGTCCGGAAAAACTCGGACATTTGGTAACCCTACAGATGCAAATCTAGGGGGTTCTCTGTTGAATGAGACTACATAAACCTTAGGGACTATCAGCATCTGTAGCACAGGACAAAAGCAGCTTTTTCTTTCTAGTCTTCCGATTGATTTAAGAAAGGTTGCCAACTGATAAGTGGCATGTGTAGCAACTGACAAATGGAACACATCCTACTTAAACAGCAGCAAGACTTGCATTTACTAATCTAAATAAGAAAGAAAATTTGTCCACATCTGTGAATGAATTTTATTTTTCTCCTGTAAAAAAAAACAAACCAAAAACAAAAAACACTCCTATTCCCCACAACAAACAAACTTATTTCTAGCAGATTAATTTTGTTAAAAGACTGATAACATGACATATTGCCACTATTTATTTTCTAAATTGAGACTGTGACTTTCTTATGTTAAGGACTCTCCTCTATGTTAAGGAGAGCTATGCATCCCTGCCAGCTGATACTGGCGACCAGGGTGGATGGCTAGAGACCCTCTGGGTTAAAATCTGTGGGGAACACGGCACAGGGGACCCAATGCAGGGAGTCTACTACAGACCTCCCACCCAAAGTCAAGAACTTGACCACGAGTTCGCCAGGGAATTGGCTGAGGCTGCATGCTCCAGGTCCATGGTTGTCATGGGAGACTTCAACTACCCAGACATCTTGTGGGAACAGCGCTCGGCTAAGTCCAAGCAGTCGCAAAGCTTCCTCTCATGCGTGGATGAGCTCTGACACAAGAGGTCTATGGGCCAATGAGAGGTAAAGCGCTGCCCGACCTGGTACTGGCAACTGGGGATGACCTAATCAGTGACCTAATGATCAATGGGAAGCTGACTGACAGCGACCACGACCTGATCACCTTCACCATCCGCCATAAAGCTGGCAAGTCTGTCAGCAATACAGAAGTCCTTGACTTCAGGAAAGCTGACTTTGACAAGCTCAGGAGGCTTGTCGGTGAGGCCGTAAGGGACCATGACCCCAAGGGGACGGGAGTTCAGGAAGAGTGGTTGCTCCTTAAGGGAGCGATCCTCGATGCACAAGCTAAGGCTATTCCATCTTGGAGGAAAGGCAGCAAAAGGGCACAGCAACCCCCATGGCTCTCCAGGAAACTAGCGGACCTCCTGCAGCTAAAAAGGAAGGCCTACAAAGGATGGGATCCACCTCCAAGGTGGAATATTCTGCACTGGTCTGGTCCTGCAGGGAGCAAACTAGGAAAGCCAAAGCTGCAACTGAACTCCAAATAGCTATAAGTATCAAGGACAATAAAAAGTCCTTTTTTTAGGTATGTGGGGAGCCGGAGGAAAAGCAAGGGCAACATTGGACCCCTGCTAAACCAGAAGGGACAACGGATGACTGATGCCCAGGAAAAACCTATATCAATCCTTACATTCAGAGTCTGAATTTTTCTTATTACTCAAGTTGTGCCCTGCATAATTTCTAAGGAAAGAGTAATTTCCCCACATCTGGCTTCAAGGCAGTGAAATATCTTTCTGCATGATCTGTGTACAAGCCATTCTTTTTTAGTAATTTAAGATAATGGGGTTATTTCACTAATTATTCTAATTACGTTTTTAAAGCACTGACAGGTTAGCAGATGATAGGGGCTAGGTACAGATAGTCAAAAAGCCTGAGTCTGAATCGATTCAGTCTTTGCAGGTTAGTCTAAACTGCAGATTAAACTGAAACAGAAGTGAACTGACATTTATCTGATACAGGATATGCAGCCACATGCCTGCAGTGGCCGAGGCCAGATGCTGTGGGGTGCTAGAGCATGGCTCCCTGGCTGTGCTCACTTCTTCCTGATGCCCCAGAGGTCTCTGGGATTTGCAGTCCAAAATTACAGCAGCAGGACTCTGCAGGGTTACTCATCACTTCTTC